TGTTCCATTCCCGACTCCCCCACCCTCGAGAAGCCAGACCACCCCGCACACCCCAACAGCCACCAGATCCAATATTTAAAACTTTTAATATAAAGGTTAAAGTTAATTATTCTCGATCCTGAGAAACATTTCGTCCGTTTACGGAGCTGTCGCTGTAAACAAAGCACCACAGGCACCAAGCCCGCACCCGGGGCCGGGTGGCAGGCGGGAAGGACACAGATGTCCCCAGTGCACGGGGACAGCAACGGGACAGGCAACTCGCCACGCCGCTCTCCTTTGGGAGCGAATTCCCCGCAGTGGGAATTGCCCAGTTCCTGAGGTGGGGAGGGGTCCACACACCCCCCCAACCCTCCCCATCCCCTCCGCCCCGGTGCTCACGCTACTCGTTATTAAAAAAAAATTAAAATACGCATATCCCAAAGGAAGAAATAACCCACGAACCGCCCCCACCCTCCCCGCGTTTGCTCCCTTGACACAAGGTAAACTTTAAAAAAAGAAGCCACTTTTGGGGACTCAGAGGGTGCCGTGGCCGCGGGAGCCCAGGGCGAACCAGCCCATCTTCTCCTGGGCCAGGTCCAGGTCGCGGAGGCGAATGCCCACCTCCCCCAGCAGGATGTTCTCCCAAAATCCTTCCTCGCTCAGCACGCTCAGCCGCAGCTCCCGCTGCTCCAGGTCCCCCCGGGGGATCCCGTCGTACACCAGCTGTGGGACACAACGGGGACAAACCCTCTCAGCCACGGCCACCCGTGGGGACGCCCCAAATCCGTCCCTGTGTCCCTTCCTACCATCTCGTTGTAGGTGGGGTTGCAGGTTTTTCGCGCCACTTTGGTTTTCCTCTTGGTGGTTTTTTGGGGGTCGGGCAGCAGGTAGGTCTTGACGTAGGGGTCGGGGTCGTTGCCGTCCTGCAGGGGTGGCTGTGGGGCAGATTGGGGACAGGCTGTGAGCACAGGGAGGGGACAGCCCCCCAAGCCCGCTCCCGTGAGTCCTACCAGCCCTCGGATGTGCATCACCATGATGAAGAGCTTGTTGTTCTTGTAGGAGATGGAGAGTTTCACCTCGCCGCCGACCTTGCCCAGGGATCGAGCCCACGTGGCGTCTGGAGAGGGGGGACAGGAGGGATGGGACAC